CGGATGCCTTGAGTCGCCGGGCGAAGAGTTTGGCATATTTACCAGCTTCAGAGAGGCCTATGGCGATGGATGTTCAAGCCTTAGCCAGCCAGTTCGTGAGATTGGATCTTTCGGAGCCCAGTCGAGTTCTAGCTTGTGTGGTTTCCCGGTCCTCCTTAGTTGATCGTATCAGGGAGCGGCAGTATGATGACCCTCATTTGCTTGTTCTTCGGGACAAGCTTCAGCGTGGAGATGCTAGGGATGTGACCATTGGAGATGATGGAGTATTGAGGATGCAGGGCCGGATTTGTGTGCCCAATGTTGATGGTCTTCGAGAGATGATTCTAGCAGAGGCCCATAGTTCGCGGTATTCCATCCATCCGGGTGCCGCGAAGATGTATCAGGACCTGAGGCAGCACTACTGGTGGAGGCGGATGAAGAAAGATATAGTTGGCTATGTGTCTAGATGCCTCAACTGCCAGCAGGTGAAGTATGAGCACCAGCGCCCGGGTGGGTTGCTCCAGCAGATAGAGATTCCGGAGTGGAAATGGGAGCGCATCACCATGGATTTTGTATCTGGACTTCCACGGACCTTGAAGAAGTTTGATTCCATTTGGGTTATTGTGGACCGGCTGACCAAGTCCGCTCATTTCATTCCTGTGTGTACCACTTATTCATCGGAGCGGTTGGCGGAGATTTATATCAGGGAGATCGTCCGTTTGCATGGTATTCCAGTTTCTATCATTTCAGACAGAGGTACTCAGTTTACATCGCAGTTCTGGAGAGCCGTGCAGCAAGAGTTAGGCACTCGGGTGGAGTTGAGCACAGCATTTCACCCCCAGACGGACGGACAGTCCGAGCGCACTATTCAAATTCTTGAGGATATGCTCCGTGCGCGTGTGATTGAGTTTGGAGGGTCTTGGGATCATTTCTTGCCACTGGCGAAGTTTGCTTACAATAACAGTTATTAGTCCAGCATTTAGATGGCCCCGTATGAGGCTTTATATGGTAGGAGGTGCAGATCTCCGGTGGGTTGGTTTGAGCCGGGCGAGGCCAGGCAATTGGGCACAGAGATGGTTCAGGATGCATTGGAGAAGGTTAAGGTGATTCAGGATAGACTCCATACAGCCCAGTCCAGACAGAAGAGTTACGCGGACAGGAAGGTTCGTGATGTTTCATATATGGTTGGTGAGCGGGTTCTGCTTCGGGTCTCGCCTATGAAAGGCGTCATGCGTTTTGGGAAGAAAGGAAAGTTGAGTCCGAGGTTTATTGGCCCTTTTGAGATCTTGAGGCGAGTTGGGGAGGTTGCCTATGAGCTTGCCTTACCTCCCAGTTTGGCCGGAGTTCACCCGGTATTTCATGTTTCGATGCTCCAGAGATATCACGTGGATCCGTCGCATGTGTTGGATTTCAGTTCAGTCCAGCTGGACAAGGATCTATCCTATGTTGAGGAGCCAGTGGTGATTTTGGACAGACAGATCAGGAAGTTGAGGTCAAAGAACATCTCTTCAGTGAAGGTTCGGTGGCGGGGTCAGCCGGCCGAGGAGGCGACTTGGGAGACCGAGCAGGATATGCGCAGCCAGTACCCTCATCTTTTCTCTACTTCAGGTATGTTCTCTATGCTCGTTCGAGGACGAACGAATGTTTAAGTGTAGGAGGATGTAACGACCCGGCCGGTCGTTTTTGGAATTTACACCCCGATCCCCCATTAACTGCTTCCCCTAAGTTCATTTCTGCTATTTTGGTATGCCGGGACGTTCGGTGTTAGGATTCGGAGTGTTTTGGGACACTTAGTCCCTAAATGAGAGCATAAGTGTTGAAAAATGGCCCGTAATTGGAACAGTGTAAAGACGACCTCGGAATGGAAATCTGATGGTTCCGTTAGTTCCGTTAGGTGATTTCGAGGTTGGGAGCATGTTCGGAATGTATTTTGGAAGTCCGTAGCTCATTTAGGCTTGAAATGCCGAAGTTTGAATTTTTGAAGTTTCCGGTCCGATAGTGAGTTTTTGATCCGAGGGTCGGATTGGAATTCCGGAAGTTACAGTAGTTCCGTCATGTCATTTGGGATGTGTGTGCAAAATTTCAGGTCATTCGGACGAGGTTTGGTTAGGTTTTTGATCGAAAGCGTGTTTGGTTGGAATTTGAGGTTCTTAGACTTGAATCTTTGATTAATTCGGGTTTCCGGCGTTGTTTTAGGTGTTCTTAAGATTGGTACAAGTTTGAATAAGGTATTACGGGGTATTGGTGCTTTTGGATGAGGTCCCGGGGGCCTCGGGATGACTTCGGGTGGTTGACGGAAGATTTTGGAGTTGAATGAATAGCTGAAGGATTCTGTCATCTGGTATTTCCGCTTCTGCGGCTTGGGAACCGCAGAAGCGGCTAGACCGTCGCAGGAGCGGAATTAGAGTGTCCCTTTCAGTTTCCGCAGGTACGGAACTTTAACCGCAGAAGCGGTTACGCACCTGCGAGATAGTAGTCGCAGGTGCGGTCCTTGGAATTTTGTTTGAAACCGCAGAAGCGGTAATGAATCCGCATAAGCGGCAACCGCAGGTTCGGTGAAGGGCCGCAGAAGCGGAAATCTTGACTTTAATGAAGAACCGTAGAAACCGCTCGTGGTCCGCAGAAGCGATCCCTTGTCCGCAGAAGCGGAAACCCTTGGACAGAAATAGAGATGTCGAGGGTTTGAGTTCATAAGTTGCAAAATCAATTGAGAGCTCGGTTTAAGGCGATTTTGAGTGGGATTTGAAGTGAAGATCACTGGATTTGGGCCATTTGGAATCCGATACTCGTGGCAAAGGCGTGGTTTCTATTGATATTGAGCCGGTTCGAGGTAAGTGGCTTGTCTAACCTTGTGTTGGGGATCTTTCCCCTTAGGATTGTTTTCCTTGATATTTGAGTGCTTTGTACGTGAGGTGACGAGCGCGTACTTGAGCCGATTGATGAAAAATCCGATTTTTACTTAAATTATTGAGATTTAGTTTCTTTCTTACTTGCCTTATTCTACTTGAATTTATAACTTGTGATAGATTAGGAAAAGCATGTTTAGTTGACTTGACTGCCTAATTGCTTAAGTTGTTTTGACTGTCCTACGTGAAGCATGCTAGGCCAGTTCTATCTGTGTTTGTATTTCGTGCATCATTCTTGGTATATTTCTGGCTGTGATTGCGCATTTACATTGGGACTACGGATGTGGGATTCCAGTAGCTCCCCCCTTGTTTGTTTACTTTGGGACTGCGGGTTGGATTCCCGATAGATCCCCCTGCACTTTTACTTTGGGACTGCGGGTTAGATTCCCGATAGATCCCCCTGCACATTGATGATTGGACTACGGGACGGTATCTCGGGAGATCTTTTGATATTGGAACATGAATTGGACTACGGGACGGTATCCCGGGAGATCCACTGGACAGTTGAGGAAAGGGCTACAGGACGGTATCCTGGGAGACCCTCATCAGTATCATTGACATTGAGCTGTATTTATTCGGTGTTACTCTGTCTTTTGTAGTCGTTATTGTCTCATTGACCTGCCTTATTTCATTACTGTATTTGTTATATCTGTCAGATTATCATACTGTTAATTATTGCTGCTATTATATTTTGTCTTAGTAGGGCCCTGACCTTCCTCGTCACTACCCAACCGAGGTTAGGCTTGGCACTTACTGAGTACCGATGTGGTGTACTCATGCCTCTTCCTGCGCATGTTTTTCATGTGCAGATCATCCAGGTACCTCTACTCAGGCACACTACCCTTGAGGCGAGGAGCTATTCGGAGGCTTCGAGGTATGTCTGCCGCGTCCGCAGACCAGGATTCTCTACTCTATTCCGGCTTTAGCAGATAGTTCCTTTCTTTCCTCTCATGTTGTTTTAGACATTCTGGTGTAGAGCAGACTTTTACATTCTATTAGCCTGTGTTTTCCCGTGAGTTTCCGGGTTTTGGGATTTGGTTGTAGACTTCCGCATATATTTTGAGTTGTATGGGCCGAGCGGCCTTATATACAGTTGTTGCTTTCTTATGATCGGTTCTAATTAATTATTCTGCAAATAATAATCTATTATTCCGCACTGTTAGGCTTACCTAGTTATAGGAACTAGGTGCCATCACGACATGTTCATGGGGGGGGGGGGGGTTGAACTGGGGTCGTGACAGTTCCGTATTGGGAGTCCAATTGTTGCTTCAATCCACGAATTTCGTTTCTCATATCTTCCATCTGTTCTTGATTTTGAGGAGAAGAATTGGCTAAGAGTGGGTTTGGATGACCTGTAGGTCGATGTACTCCTAGTCCGTAGACTCTGCCTTTGTTTGCTCCACCCGCTGCCTCTGTCCACAATGAAGCCATATCATTAGGTGTTGGTTGAGTTGAAGGAGGCTGAATTTGTTGCCATTCTTCCAACCTTTTATGATATTCATCCTGAAATGAAAAACATAACTATTATGTAAACAAACTAATATTAATAAACCATAAATAATTATGAAGTTAGAATTTTACATATGTGTCTGACGCACGCGTCTCCACCCAGTGTTCTCTTGTACCATCCTTTTTCTTTTTCTTATGCAACTCCTCGAAGACCTCAGCGTAACTCACATCTCGCCCTCTTTCCTTTTCCTTCATAAGAAAAAGTATGAGTTAGACTTTACAAACGTAAAATTCTATATGTAAAACTAAGAAATTTTTTATAAATAATTACCATTCTTAGTTTATGGGCCTCAAAAGTAATCAAACCTCCTGTGTGCAACGAGCCACCTTTTTTAGAGGCACGGTGCCTTTGCTTGTTCACTCTCTGCCTTCCATTCTGGGGTATTCCATTTCTCAAGAAGTTTATCCCAAACATCTACTCTTAACCATTCCGGCATTTTACCGGAATGCGCTTTAGAAAAATATCTCACAAAAACAGAAAAAGATTAAATATATCTTGTTTGACAATTTTGCCAATAAGCTAAAAGGGAAAAGACAATTAGAGATTCATTGCAACTCTCACAACTCTATCTTCGTCCTCATTTGTAATCATCTAAGAATAACAAGTTAATCTTCATCTCTATCTTCATAGTAATCATCTAAGTCTTCATCATCGCCTGTTTCACTTTCATCTTGTAATTCTTCCTCATCACTTATTTCATGTTCTACACCTCTATCTTCGTCCTCATTTGTAGCAAGGACAGAAGGATCAAATTCTTCATATATCCCTTCATTATGCTGCAATTCATCTGCTAATTCATCATCNCCACGGGATTTGTTTTCAAAATTACTACGCCATGCAGACTTATCTTGCTCAAAGGATAAGGAGCATAATACACTTGTTTCACCTTTTGTACAATGATAAAGGGATCATAAAGTCTATATTGCGCGGTGTGTTTAATTTCAACTATGTTGTATTGAGCGTGCACCTTTGTACCTCTATTCGGTGTTGGATCATACCATTTACATCGAAAGAGTACCAACTTTTCTTCGGCCAACCTACAGCATACTCCAATTCCAAAATCTCTTGAAGCACACCATAATAATCAACATCTCCCTCACCTTTCACCCACACCCCACTATTGTTGGTTTTCTTTCCATTAGACCATTCTTCTGTATGAAACTTGTACCCATTGACACGTATTTAGACATCATTCTTACTCTAGGGTCAGGTCCCCAAGCTATATCACGTAAAAATGGGTCTTTAATGCCATTAGCTGGATCATGAACCTATATATATATATAATTAAATATAATTTAGAGTTTTACAAATATATATATAATTAATTACATATAATAAAAACGGAAAAGGTCCAAAAATGTCCCTAAACTATAATATATTAGCTCATTTTTGTCCTTCGTTAGTAAACTGGGCCAAAAATATCCTCCCCGTTAGCACAATGGGCCACTATTGTCCTTCAAACTAACGGCCCTCCACACAAGCCATTTTAATCCTACATGGCATCCGCATGGCTGTGACATGGCAGCCACATAAGCGGGCAGCCTTCTAAACCCGCTCCGAAATCCATTTTCAAACAAAGACCCAATTTCATAAAGGGGCAGCCGTAACCCCATCTCCAAACCCCATTTCATAACAAAAAACCCATTTCTTAGGTATTAAAGCAGAACAATTAAAGAAGCTGCAGAACAATTTGACCAGAAAAATTAAAGAAGCTGCAGAACAATTTGACCAAATATGGGCAACTAGGCAACTTGGAACACACTTTAAGCTCAACAGAATTCCCACTGAACCTTAACCTAAACAATTTCTAGGCAAGCTAGAGCTACTACAGATCTTGTCTGCTAACTTTTCCTTTCAACTTACAAGGGAAAAACGGATAACAACGAGACTAATTTCTCTTGATGAATTTAATATCCATAAATGATCCACACTATGGAGGATGACCTTACTATATTCGAATTTATCAAGACTTTGTTTCTAATGTTAATACACCTTACTCAATTTCAACTGAGGTAAAATTTCAAGTTTTGAAGTAGCATAGTATGTGTGAATACGTAATGTCCTGCTAATAGGTAAGGTTTCAAGTTTTTAATTTCTTCTAGGCCATATTCTCATGATGTTACAAATGCACAGCCACACAATCATTACATTTGCATAACATACTGCAGAAGTAAACTACTAAATTCAGCTAAGCATAAATACTTCACATAACACATAATCTTTTGTTTTCAAAGTTCAAACATTACATCTCTACATTACATAATTCATTATACTATTTCTTCAAGGCACAGAAGATAACATTTTAGCATCTTCAACAATTCATTATACTAATACACCAAAACTGTCCAGATTTACAAAAGCACGATCCAAACTGTCCAGATTTGCAAAAAAAAAAAAACACTGCTATAAACAACAGTCCAAAACTGTCCAGATTTACAAAAAAACATTGTCCAAACTGTCCAGATTTGAAGAAAAAAAAAACACTGCTATAAACAACAGTCCAAAACTATCACAGACACGTGGATGCCATGTAGGATTAAAATGGCTTGTGTGCAAGGCCGTTAGTTTGAAGGACAATAGTGGCCCATTGTGCTAACGGGGAGGATATTTTTGGCCCAGTTTACTAACGGAGGACAAAAATGAGCTATATACCATAGTTTAGGGATATCTTTGAACCTTTTCCGTAATAAAAATCATGTTAAATAATAAGTAATACTTACAAATTCTTTAAACCACTCTGAAAACTTGAGATAAACAACATCTTGCCCATATGTACCCACAAAGTAACTGCCATTATAATATTTATTAGTTAAATCAGTGGCATATTTAATATAAAAGTCTGTAATATATACGAATATATACTTACCTATAATAAGGTTGGACCTCAGGGCAATTTAACAATATATGTGTTGTAGCTGACTTTAGGTCCATCTCAGACAACCTTCGCTTTGGACAATTTTTTGGACCTCCTTTACCTGGTTGATTAAAAATAGAAAAGGGTGGTGCCAAAGGATCGATTTCGCCTCCATCATCATGCCGATTCGGTCTATTTCTCAAACATGGAACATCATGTTCAAAATAGTATGAACAGAAATAAGATGTTTCTTTAGCCACATATGCCTCGCATATCGAACCTTCAATTCTTGATCTATTTTTTATGGTCCGTTTACATTTGCCAATAGTCCTGCATAGTGTTATTTTTAGACAAAACAATCTTTAAAGCAAATACAAAAGGTAAATGATTAAATTTCATTACCTCTCGAAGGGATACATCCATCTACATTGAACTGGCCCTCCAAGCCGTGCCTCTTGTGCAAGGTGAATTGGAAGATGTTCCATTACATCAAAAAAACCAAGAGGGAAAATTTTTGCCAGCTTGTTTAAAGTTAAGATAATGTTACTCTCCATATAAATTAAGTTCTCCACCCTCAATGTGCTAGAACACAAATCCTTGAAAAAATAACTTATCTCTGTAATCGATTTCCATATTCGATCAGGCAATGCATTGAATGCAATAGGCATCAACGCTTCTATGAAAATATGACAATCGTGGCTTTTCATTGACGCCAACTTCCCTTCTTTCATGTCAACACACCTGGATAAATTTGATGTGTACCCATCAGGCATCCTCAAATTGTTAACCCAACTACAAATCTCTTTTCTCTCATCCAATGTGAATGTGTAATTGGCTTTGGGCTTCTGTATCTTGTTGCTGAAGTATGTCAGATACAACTCACTTCGCCTACAATATTCTTTTAAGTCCATCCTGGCTTTCAAGTTATCTTTGGTCTTGTTAGTAACATCCATAATAGTGTTAAACAAGTTGTCAAAAAAATTCTTCTCGATATGCATGACGTCCAGATTATGCCGAAGAAGATTGTGCTTCCAATAAGGTAATTCCCAAAATATGCTCCGTTTAGTCCAGTTGTGTGTGACACCATAACCTGGTATCTTAGATGGTGGAGACTCTGTTACTTTAGGCATATCCCTTACTCTGTTCCAAATTTCTTCTGAACACAAGCAGGCCGGTGGCTCCTCAAAATCAGTTCGGTTCTTCATAAATGCACTTGTATTTCGCCTAAATTCATGATTCATTGGCAAGAATCTACGGTGGCAGTCGAACCATGTATTTTTACCTCCATGTTTTAAAGTAAATGCTTTAGTGTCTTCCATACAACAAGGGCAAGCTAACTTTCCAGCAGTCGACCACCCGGACAACATTCCATAAGCAGGAAAATCATTTATAGTCCACATCAAAGCAGCATGCAATCTGAAGTTTTGTTTGGTTGATATATCATATGTTTCCACACCTTGATGCCATAATAATTGTAACTCATCAATCAAAGGCTGCAAGTATACATCAATCAAACTTTTCGGATTGCGTGGACCTGGAACAATACAAGTTAGGAACAGATATAGACTTGTCATGCACAACTATGGCGGAAGATTATATGGAGTAACAAACACCGGCCAACACGAATATGGTGCAGCAGAGACAACAAATGGAGTAAATCCATCTGTGCATAATCCCAACCTAATGTTTCTTGGTTCACTAGCAAACTCGGGGAACACCCTATCAAAATGCTTCCACGCTTCTCCATCTGACGGATGGCAGAGTATACCAGGTGGCCTTCTATGTTCGTAGTGCCATCTCATATAAGGAGCAGCGCTCATTGATGCATACAACCTCTTTAACCTAGGTATAAGAGGTAAGTAATGCATCGCTTTAAGTGGAACTTTCTTTTTTGTATTGGCATTTGTCACTTCCTTAAAACGAGGTTGATTACAAAATTTACAGTTCTTTAGAGATGCGTCATCCTTATAGAATAACATGCAACCTTTCTCACAACAATCAATTCTCTCTGATGAAAGACCCAACTTAGAAATCAATTTTTTAGCAGTGTAGAAATCTTTTGGTAAGTCAATGTTACTCGGGTTAAATTCATTCATAAGCCCAATAATAGAATCCATACCCGCTTGGGAAGTAGAACTATCCGATTTAATACTTAGCAATCTAACCGCAACACACAACTTGGAATGCACCGAACCTTCATACAATGGACGACTAGCTTCTAGTAACTGTTCATAGAAACGCTTAGACTCATCATTTGGTTCGGATTGAACCCCAGGAAACGTCCCAAAAGCATCCCTCATCATTTCATTGTATCGAGTATTTTCAACATTATGCTCCGAAATGGAGCTACCCTCAGCACCAAAAGAATTATGAAAGTTAGCATCATCTAAACTAGCATAATTCTCCCCGTGAGCAGTCCATATATAATAATTTTCTACAAACCCTTTCATGTAGAGATGGACTTTAACTTCTTCTGATTTCAATAACTTAACACATTTACATTTCACACAAGGACACCTAATCCTTCCTTCAATAAGAAAAATCATCAAGTGTTTGAGCCTTGGCAATAAATTCAGCAACCCCTTCAATAAATTCATCCCTCAACCCCGCACGATTAGAGTGATTCCTATTATACATCCATCTACGATGCACAAATTCCATCTACACAAATAGAAATCTATAAATGAGATATTTAAAATAATTTGATTTATTTAAACTAGTTATTTAACACTCGAAATCTCACATTAATCCCTATTCTAAATAATATAAGTCTTTAAATATACTAATTAAATTTGAATAGCTTCTTAAATGTTCATGTAATCCAAATTAATTAATGATTTCTCAACAGAAGAAATAGTTGTAGCTAACAATCTTGAAATTCAATCTGGAATTGTAATTTTTTGGTTGAGAAATGATAAAATTGTGGTTTGATACTAAAACGGAGCAACAGAGAATCAACTAGAGCATCCAAAACAGAATAAATAAAACTCTTAACTTTCACAAACGGATCAACAAAATACCTTACTCCTTTTGAGATAGAATGAAAATTAAATAGTATCACATATATCATTCATATCATACTATACTAAAAGTGGGAAGATCCTAAGTGTAAAATTGAATTACTAAAATGTCCATAAAAAGCTAAACGACATTTTAGCCCTTCAAGGAAACACTACTCCAGTAATAATAATGTACAAAATAGTAAATACACTTCATAATAAATAGAGCACTTTTAAGAATCATAAAGATAATGCAAATAAATTTCTATTACTGATCATTTAGGTCCTTTAAGCTTATACATCCTAATAATCATTCAGATGGTCATCTTCTACTAAGGCCATTGGTATTCCCTGCAAAGATGTATATCTACGCTTGACGATTTTTTTTTTTTTTTTTGCGATAATAGATAATAATTAAAGATGGTGCATTAAAAGAACAACCTTTCATATCGTAATGGGAAGAGCAATTGTTAGAAAAGCAAAAGTCAGTCACTTTCTTCAATTATCTCATCAGTTGAAATAAATGAACAGTTACACAATTAAATTGTTACTCAATTATCTCATCTGTTGAAGAATATATATATATATATATATATATATATATATATATATATATATATATATATATAAAAGTAGAGTTGGAGAAGATCAATTGAAATACCCTATTTCCTAGTGAAATCCATTTTGGTTACCTCTTGCGATATACAAATCTACTCAGCAAGTGACATCAAGTAAGTTTTTATTTTTGTAACTTCCTATGAGCATTCATGAAACTATATTTTCTTGTCTATGTGAATTTGGCTAGGAAACACTTCCTACTAGTAACAGTTCCTACTAATCTTTAGTATGAAATAATGCCTTTTTTCTGAAAATCATATATCAGTAACAAATAATACATTGGGCATTTGGCAGTTTATTGTTGTCTTTGTTGTGAAAGGTAAATTTATTTGGATATCAGAAACTATCAAGGATCATTTTTATCACAATATTTTAGATATTTATATATGGTATCTATTGTTTGCATATAATAATCCTTTAATAATATCAGATAATGATTAGGGGTAGTAGTGTTCATATGTTCAAGTAGAAGAAAATCCAATCAATTTGAGTTGATGATGAGCCTCTTGTTTTGCCTCCGCATCTTGCGGACTGTCTTCTAAGGTGTAATTCTTACAAAGTTAATTAAGACCGTTTATAACTGAAATAAATTCTTTGAGTACATTATTAAAAAAATTAGAGACACACAAATCTGATGTGATTTAATAAAAATTTTAAACAGTCAAAGAGAAATTACCGGGCAGTGGAGACGGAGATTCAGCGGGTTGGTGGCAGTGACCTTCAGCGGCGCCGGCGGTGCCGCTGGTTGGTGGCAGCGGTGGGTTTGGGTGGGGGAAGTTTGAGTGAGAGAGAGAAGAAGAGAAGGAAGAAAAGAGGGGAAAAAAAAAAGAAAGATATCCGGTGGTAGGGTTTTTAAAAATTATTTCCGACTGATTCGGTCGGTAATTTGGTCAAAGCAGTCAACCTCGTTTTACTAAAAATTTCCGACCGAATCGGTCGCTATTTTTTTTTTTTAAATTATTCCCGACCGTATTGGTTGCTAACATTGGCGCAGAATTTTCTGCCAAAATTTACGACGGATATAGACGGAATATTAGTCGTAACTATTAATAAAAATTAAAAAATAAATTTTTATATATTTTCCGACCGATTCCGTCGGAAATTTCCGACTACTTTTTTCCGTCGGAAATTGGCCCTTTTTTAGTAGTGAAGATAATGTGAGTTGTGGAGGACAATCACTGTTTCTCTACCATTTAACATGATGTTGAAGGAGAGGGCATGACCCATCAAGCCCAGTTCCACCCAGGATTGAGGTTGGTGGTTCTCCGGCATTAGAGGTTGAATGAATATTGTTGGTGCCTGGTTTGCTGGTTGGTTTGGAGGAGTTATGTTTGCCATATTTTGATTCAAACGAAGGATTTGTATTAGTCTGAAACGGCTCCTGTTGGATATAGGTAATCTTGGCGTTCTTTGGTTCAAGAGGAGGGTTTTTAGAGAAGATTTTTGGTTCTTGGAAAATCACAGAATCGGTTTCAATGATTGTGATATCCTTTTGCATGTCATTTTTTTGGGGTAGCGTAAGGGATTTATTAAGAGAAGAAAAGGATTGGTTTTGGGGTACGTGTTCCTTGGCATTGACCATTTGGAACATGGGTAATTCTTGCACTGACAGGTAGGCATTATTTTTCAGGCCATGCAGTGAGTTACCCTTGTTATTTGAACGTCCTGGTAGGGGGTTAGTGGGGAGGGGGGGTTGTCTCCCTTGTTGGTACCTCAGTGGTAGTGATTATGGGGGGGGGGGGGGGTCTCTAATATCTGACACATTCTTTGTTTTGTTTGTTGTGTTGTCAATGTGTTCATTTTTGTTAGGAAAAATATTATTAAGGTTATTAATATTATTGTTGATATTATTATTAGTAATGGAGTTATTATTTTTATTATTAGAAAAATTATTAGGTAATTCATCAGAGTAGTTTTTGGTATTATCCAAAATCATGTTCTGTGAAGATGGAGAGGAGAACTGGTTTTTTGAGTTAGTAGCCATTTGAGATGGCGATTGCTATCCAGCGTGTGATTTGAAGTCATTTTTCCTAACTCCCACAACACCTTGATTGGATCGTGCTTTGTAATTAAAGGTCTGAGATGTAAGAAACTTACCTGTGGAGGCATCAAAGATTTATACCTGTCTTTGAGAGAGCTTCCTTTTTTTGATTTTTCGTGGGTTTTTTTGTACCTTTTTTGAAAGTTACTGTTTGTCATTCCTCCTTTGATGTGTGTTAATCCTCTTGTAAAGCTTTGTGCCGTTCTTCTTGTGTAATATTGTATTGATCTGCTTGCATGGAACTGCTTTGTCCTTCCTTTTCTGCTTCTTTTCCTTTTGTTATTGAAGTGTATGGTTGGATCTTGGTTGTTGCACATTGGCCAGTGGAATGGCCCAGGAAACCGCAGTTTAGGCATAGGAGTTTGTCACACTCGTATAGGATCTGTTGTTTGTGTGAGTCAATCCACACATTAGATTTAACTTGTTTATTTTGTGGTAGTTCAACACAAATTCTAGCATATCGTCCACGAAGAGCTGTCGATGTGCACGCATCTACTTTGAGGAGTCTTCCTATTGTGTTTCCAACTTTGTTTAGGATCTTTTCATCATAAAATTCCGTGGGTAATTCTGGTAATCTTATCCAGATTGCAGTGAATGTTTGTTTTGCTCTTGATGGCACAAAGTTAGGTTCCCAGCATTGCACCGATAAGAAGTTGCCAAATATGAACCAGGGACTTTTCTGCAAAGCAGTTTCCATGTTCTCTTCCTTGTTGAACTTCACTGTATAGTAGTCCTCTCCCAGGTCAATGAGGGGAAAGGCCTCTGAAGGCTTCCATAGATCTGTTATTTTACGTTTGAGCACTTGATGAAGGATTTTTTTTTCTTGAAGTTTAATTATAACAGAGAATCTTCACGGGTAATAAATGCATTGTTTGTCTTCCCCAGTTATTAGTACTAGGTGTTAGTTTTCCTGATCTGTGAGTGTCTTTTCCGGCTCTACCTCGATGGAATCAATTGCCATAGGTAATAAATATGAAAAGGTTGAGGATAAAGAGAAGCTTCTTTCATGGTCATTGGCTAGGAGTTTTTCCTTGAAGGAGGTGAGATCATTCGATTGGAGGGAATGAATGTCAGGCTGTTTGGGAGTAGTTCCACTCGAACAATGTGATTTTCCATTACAGCTTAGTATGAATAGTTTAGCAGAGGGAGTAGGATTATAGTAGAATTTTACAGAGTTTGTTGTTAGATGGTTGGAGAGAAGATGGAGCTTCTCTATCTAGACTTCAATTAGGATACCTTATTTTAATTTGACTTCAAGAAAGAACGATCATATCATCTTTATTTGAATTTATCAATTATTAGATTATTTTTTCAAAGATAATGTGTTTCAAAAGTATTTGATGGGTTTGTAGGATCGTATATAATAGTACCTATTTGTTTTTCTTTTCTTTTGAAATGTTGAATTATCTGAAAATTTAAACTATTACAGAAAGTACACTTTTATATACTTAATTAAGTTTTCCTCATGCCTCCTCCCGAATTCTTTTTTACAATAGGTGACGGTGAAATTCAAATCTATAATCTCTGTTAATTTTATAATATATTGAAGTATGTGATCACCATATTGAAAATTTTAAGCATTTAAATATTGGCTCAAACCGAATACCTACACCGGATGAACAAAAATGTTACCATTCTTTAACAAGTGGCGTATACAGGTATTATTATAAATATTGGCTCTGCAAAAATGACTCCTAAAAAGGAAACACTTCTCTATGTAATGTTATAATTGTAGCAATATCAACTCTGACTTGTGGCTTCATTGTTAGACGACTATGAAACTTTTTATTTT